GTAATATTGAGTCTACCAATTGATGAACATGAGACATCTTTCCCTTTTCTACTATTTTCTGCAATTTCTTTCTTCAGAGAGTAAAAGTTTTCACTGTATATTTTTAACCTATCAGAAATTTATTTTTAATAATATGAAGAATTGTATGTTCCCAGATAATTTTTCCACTTTCATTTATAGAAAAGTCAATCTTTCCCAAGCTGTTGTAAAATGACACCCTTTTTCATATACCTTATTTCCATGTATTTATGGGTCTAGTTGGGAATGCCATTCTATTTTCTTGATCTATTCTGTGCTAATATGCTTAAAATTATAATTTTATAATATGCTTATAAAGCTTGTATCTTATAATTTCTTTCTCAAAGTTGTTACTTTACAATTTTTCAATATGAGTTTTAGAATTACCTTGTCTAATATATGAAAATATCTAAGATAGATTTGTATTACAAGAAATTTGTGCATTAATTTCTAAGTGAATTTATCTCTTTCTAGTTTTGAAATTGCCTGTCTGTGAACATGGTATTTCTACCTATTGGCTTCCTTCAAGTCTTCTAGAATAATTTAATAGATTTCTTCATATTACTTCTCTAACTATAATATGCCAGACATATTATAGTTTCTATTACTTTTGTAAATTTTACTTCATTTTTACTTTCTCTAAATAGGTAAATGGGTGTCTAGGAAAGTCATTTTCTGTTGATTCTAATTTTTTAATACTTCAACATAACAGAAGAATTGCTAGAGTAGTACAAAATGCATCTTGTGCACTACCTCTTATTTAGGTATATATCTAAGCCTTTTATACTCTTATGCATTTTTGTATACCAAAATCCTGGCATTTGTGTAATAGAAATTGTATAGTATTTTTAACAAATGCCAAAGGGCTGTCCTTTGTTACCCTTACTTGTTTGTTTGTAAAAGTCTTTTAGAAAGAATTTTTTTGTTTTGTTTTTCTGTTGGTGTTTATTTTTCCTAAGTAAGTATTTCTGTTAAATCTGGTTTTTCCCTAGAAATACAATATGCTAGCATTGTGATGCGATTTGATTATGTCTGGCTTCGAGACCACTGCCGCTCAGCATCATGCTATAATTCTAAGACTCACCAGAGGAGCCTAGACACTGCCAGTGTGGATTTATGTATCAAGCCGAAGACCATTCGTCTGGATGAAACCACACTCTTTTTTACTTGTAAGTGTACAGGGGTTTCTTGGATTTCTTTGAGGTATTCTTCTAAAGAATAATGACTTTATAAAAAATAGTTTGGCTCTTTCTTTTTTGGTGTTTGATTTTATTTTTATTATTTTTAAATATTTTTTATTTAAATTAGAAACAATCTTATTTTATATATCAGTCCCAGTTCCCTATCCCTCCCATCATCCCTTGCCCCCCATCCTCCCCCCCATCCAATACCAAGGAAGAGTGAAGCCTTCCATGGGGGGGGGGTCATCAAAGTTTGTCACATCATTTCAAGGGGGGGGCTAGGCCCTCCCCCCATGTCTAGGATGAGAGAGTATCCCTCTATGGGGGAACGGGCTCCCAAAGTCCATTATTGCACTAGGAATAAATACTGGTTCCACCACAAGAGGCCCCATAGACTACCCAGGCCTCCTGTTACCCACATTCACGGGGCCTGGTTCAGTCCTATGTTTTGATTTGCATTTCCCTGTTGGCTAAGGATGTTGAGCAGTTTCTTAAGTGTCCTTCTGCCATTTTAGATTCCTCTTTTGAGAATTCTCTATTTAGTTCTGTACCCCACTTTTTGATTGGATTATTTCTGTTTTGGTGACTAGTTTCTTGATTCCTTTATATATTTTGGAAATCAGCCCTCTGTCAGATGTGGGGTTAGTGAAGATCTTTACCTATTCTGCAGGCTGCCATTTTGTCTTGTTGACTGTGTCCTTTGCCTTACAGAAGCTTCTCAGTTTCTGGAGGTCCCATTTATTAATTGTGGATCTCAGTGTGTCTGTGCTACTGGTGTTACGTTCAGGAAGCGGTTTCCTGTACCAAAGAATTCAAGGGTACCTCCCACTTTCTCTTCTAAGAGGTTCAGTGTGGCTGGATTTATGTTGAGGTCTTTGATCCATTTGGACTTAAGTTTTGTGCATGGTGATAGATAAGGATCTATCTGCAGTCTTCTACATGCCAGCATCCAGTTATGCCAGCACAATTTGTTGAAGATGCTTTCTTTTTTCCATTATATTATTTTAGCTTTTTTGGTCAAAAATTATGTGTTCATAGGTGTGTGGATGGATATCAGGGCTTTCAATTCGATTCCATTGGTGTACTAGTCTGTTTTTGTTCCAATACTGGCTCTTTTTTTTGTTTGTTTTTTGAGACAGGGTTTCTCGGTGTACCTTTAGGAGCCTATCTTGGCACTCACTCTGGAGACCAGGCTGGCCTCGAACTCACAGAGATCTGCCTGCCTCTGCTTCCCGAGTGCTGGGATTAAAGGCGTGTGCCGCCAACGCCCGGCTTGGCTCTTTCTAAAATAGGAAATGTTTCAGTTAGTTTTCCCTCTTGCTTTGGAGCAGTTCCAATAGCCTTTTGATTTTGTTTTTTTTTTTTTCAGCTAACACCATACTTAATTTTCAGGCATAATAATCTCTAAGCTAAGAAACATTGCAAGGATGTCTGCTTTCATCACTGTTTTGCTTTGATTTGTTTTGCATTTTGTCTTTGAGGTAAGGTCTTGTAAGATAGCCCCAGATGTCCTTAAATTCACTATGCAGATCAGCCTGACTTGTGATTCTCTTGCCTCAGCCACCTGAGTGCTTGTGTTGCCTGGAGAGATGGATCAGTTAAGAGCAGTTGCTGCTCTTGAAGAGGATGTAATTTG